CTTTATTTACTATTGTCGTCATCTTTGTTGCCATATTTATTGCAACGTTTCGGCCGTTGTATGCTCCGGCCTTCCTTTATTTCGCTCACTGGGGTAGACTGTTCTAGTTCCACGTGCCATATTTAATGGATGTCAGTTATCTCCTGCTAATTTCCCTCTGAAAGTTCTCCACTGCCTTAACCGGGTATTGAATTCACACATTTTGGGTCCTGTCACCAACGCCTTTATCCACTGTGCCATGTGTCCTTGAGGACATCTGGGTATGAATTTCTGGGTATTATAAACCTAATGTCTCAGCAACCATTTTTACCAGTGCTCATATTGCAATTTTTTGCTGTTATCAAATCATGTTTTTACCAGTGCTCATATTGCAATTTTTGTTGTTATTATCGCTTTTCTCTGGCACTCCTTATTACTGGTTCCCATATTGTATTCATTTCTATGCTTGGTCGGATCAGGATATTTTTGTGGCCTAGAATATGTGCTGATTCCTTAAGTTTACAAATTTTTCAGTGGTGTTCCTTGTCTATGATCTCAACCTGATCCCACAGAGGGCGGAAATATAGACAGATACTAATATGTCTTTATTATATTATTTTCTTAATTCTTGTATCTGAGAATTTCATAAAGCATTACTATAAAATCAACTTGTAGAGAAAGAAAACACAATGAAAAACTATAAATGAAGATGGTTGGAGAATCAGCTGACTGAAAATATAGTGTAATAAAATAAATAAATAAATAAAGATACAAGCCTGAAAAAATAAACTTGGAAATGTCTGCTGCATGTTGTCACCCACTTTTTACTGGATGACGCGTATGGTGCCATAGTTTAAGTGGACTTAGAAGAATTATCTGAATACGGATTTATCGATCGGATTTATTAAATCCGTGCAGAGAACGGATCAGATGCACACGCTGAGATAAGCTGATTTTGTTAACTTGGAATGCTGGGCCATTGATAAAGAAAGTTTCCTGGAGACTTAAGAGTTCTTATCCAAATGCAACTCTCAACATAATTCAGAGAAACAGAAGAGTCTGTAATGTCTCTCAACTTTTATAAAGTTATTTTTTTCGGCGTATTGTGTTTCCATTTATTTCCTGAGTGAAGGCAACAGATTCTGATTTAAACGTTTACAGTCACTGAATAAAGCAACGAATCGTTTAGTTTATTATTATTATTATTGTTATTATTTTTTTTTATTTCCTTTGCTTTCTGACGTTTACACATTTCTTTCCGGGTTCCGCCCAGGGACCGAAGGTTAGAAATGGCATCATGACACTTTCCACTGAAAAAAAAAGAATTACATAGATAAAGCCCTTCGTAAATTGTGAGAACAATTTTTTGTATTTCTTTGAGGCATGGGCTTCCAGGAATACCTTCAATTAGTCTACTGGAATCTTTTCCAACCAATCCTAGGGCTCCAACTACAACAGGGATTGTTAATGTTCACATGTGCCACATTTTTGAGATTTCTATTTGAAGATCCTTGTATTTTGACAGCTTTTTGAATATCTTCAAAGATACATTGTAGTCTGCAGGGACTGCCATATCAATAAGGAGGCACTTTTTTGTTTGTGGTCTCTAATAACACTGTCTGGGCGGTTGGCTTTGATTGTTCTATCAGTGTGTATTGTGTAGTCCCATCGAATTGTAACAGATCCGATCTCCGTAACAGGGTCTGGGTGGTGTTCATACCAGTTTCTTTCAGTTACAGATTTTCCAGTGCAGATATTGGCCCACTCTGTCATGTTTTATACTGAGTGGGTGCCAATATTGTGCAATCTGATACAACCTGATTTTGAGATAACATAATATTTTAGTATATGTGCTTGATAATTTCTAGTAAACAAGCATTGGTCCCGTGCAGCAAGGATAAAACCTTCAGTTTCAGCTTTCAACCCTGCACTACGTAGCCACTGATGGGTACGGATTTTGTCTACGTCAGCTTGTTTGATACGGGCAGAATAATAATAATAATAATAATAATAATAATAATAATAATAATAATGCTCTTACAATATAATATTGGGGCTATGAAGAAGCGAACAGTTAAAGTAGTTTCGAATTCTAGCTGGGGAATATTGAATTTATTTATAATGCCACTACAAAACGGAGAATACACCAAACTTATTGTTAATTACATTGTTGGCAGGATGTAATATAAGAATGCAAGCTGAGGACGACGCAGCGCAATCCACTACACAGTTGTTTTACGGGATTTTATGTAATAAAACATCAAAATTTTAAAAGAGGAAAGAAGTAACCAATCAAAAAACAGAACATCATTACTATCACATTTTATTATATTTGATAGCATAAAACTCTTCAGCAATGAGGGAATTATATTTTAATTAACACTTCTAGCTCGGACCAAATTAACGAGACCACGCCAAGGCAATACTTCTAAAAGAACTGGCAGCCACTCGATTGAGATTCATGTTTGGGGGCCGATAATTTACAATAGTTTACAATTTAAACACTTTTTCTGATGTTAAAGTGACAAACAATAGTCATTAGAAATTTTATTACAAAGTATAATTTTTTTTATGACATTGTTCTTCATAACATCGAATATTTTGATTATAAAATTTATTTTTATGAATAATTTTTGTTCTTTCTAAAATCTCTTTTAAAAAGTATATTGGATTTTAATTTTACCGCCCTTTTTAAAGAGATAAAATATATAACTTTTTGTTTTGGTAGCGTCGTACTGTGACAAAAATAATCATTTGTTTTCAAAACTGGTTTTCATATGTGACTATAGATTAAACAATTCTGATCATAAACATAAAACGTTCCTGGGTATGACGATAAACTACACCCGCGTCCTGGGTAAGACGATAAACTACACCCGCGTCCTGGGTAAGACGATAAACTACATCCGCGTCCTGGGTAAGACGATAAACTACATCCGCGTCTCGGGTATGACGATAAACTACATCCGCGTCCTGGGTAAGACTATAAACTACATCCGCGTCCTGGGTAAGACGATAAACTACATCCGCGTCCTGGGTAAGACGATAAACTACATCCGCGTCTCGGGTATGACGATAAACTACATCCGCGTCCTGGGTAAGACGATAAACTACATCCGCGTCCTGGGTAAGACGATAAACTTCATCAAACAGTAAGGCCTCTGATCAGGAAGCTTTGAAGAGCGCAGAACCACCTCTTAATTGCTGGTGTTCCCAGGTCGTCCCTGACCCGGGGTGGTAGCACCTGTTAGGGTCCCTGCTATGGGTAAATACTTAACACTCGAATTTGGAGTCTAAACTCTATGAAAGTGTAAAAATAGATTTTAATACAACAATACATTTTGTAAAAAAATTACTAGCAATATATTTTTAAAAAATAAAACATATTGCCAGCAATACATTTTTGAAAAAAATATTAACAGCAATAAAAATCTTGTCAGCATTAAATCACCCATTGAAGTTGATATGCCGTGAAACAAAACAAACCGAACCAAACCAAAACAAACTTAAAAAGAAAATATTAGTTTATGCATATTTTATAACAGCGCCAAATGTTATTGAAAAATTCATATTGCAAAAAACTAAATTAGTCTTCAATTAAATATTGATGTTAAGTAAACAAAATTGATCCAAGATATAATTGCTTAAAATGTGGATATTTGCTGGCCAAGCATTTGAGAAGTTATTAACCGTTGAAACTAGGGCAACTAAATTTATTAAAATTAAAATGGTCAGTGTCTAGATGGGTAACCGATTGCGAAGATCAGGTGCTTGGATCTGTGGGTGGCTCGGAATTGAAAATCTAAGAGCCGATTCCAAATTCCAGTAGGGTTCTTTATATTCCTTTGGGAAATACCTCTGGGAAAGTATGAACCTACCTCTTGTTCTTCAACTATGGGTTAATTAGTAGAACTAGCATCAGTAAATCATTATTATCTCCAAAACAGTCTTACAATCTAAAACTATTTACTGGTTTTAAATAACCTGCAAAAAGTTGATAAGTCATTTCGTCAAAAACAAATTTCTGTGGAGCTGTGAGATTTTCTTAAACTCATTTTTGGCTTCTCATTTTACAAGTTTGTAATCTAAAATTTGTGCCTGTCATATTCACTCTATCATTACTCTGTTATATTTCGCTTAAAAAAAACAAAAAACCTTTACTAGCAGAATACCACAATACTGACGAGACACTTGTCTTTACTTTTTACATAAATCCACCCGACATAATTACTAGGGTGTAAATAGTGATGCATTGTTATCAGTTTCATCGTCATTTGCTTCAAATTCTCAATTCATCATCACGTATCCTGCTTAGAAAGGGCCCTGAATAAGTTATGTATGTAGGTTACTGATCCTGTTTTTGGTCTTAAAGTGATTTACCAAAATCTTCTATGTTCTTATCGGTTATTGCTTTTTCGATTTTTTTAATTTCATTTCACCCTGATTTACTGCAGCTGATTTTTCTATTGACAGATGTTTTATTATTTTCCATTCAGTGTCGCAAGAATTTTATTACTGAGAAGATTCAGTTGCTCTCTGTTTTTATGTTTTTCTTATGGACGTCCTTCGATAAACGTCTGTTGGAACAAATTCTAGACTTATAACCAAACTTCATTTTAAAATTATTGTTCTTTGATTTAGTCCGGAATAAAACCAGCCGACTGCTGCTAGTTTTTCACTGTAAAACGTTCTGTCTTTTCGACTCATTCGTATAACAGCTTAGCAATAGTTTTATCAACTTTAGCACACAAATTCATTTCAAAGCTTTTTAAGCAGGCGGATTAGGATAAAGGAAGCCGGTATCTCACGATAAGAAGCGAATAGTTTTAAGGTTTTAAGTTTTCGCCAAACAACAGTATTCGATAAAAGTTAAATAAAATAACCGAAAAGAGTAACAAGGAAAATAAACAAATTTATTAATGCAATAAAAGCTTCTGAAATCTATGGTGACACAAACAGGCAAATATTAAACCAATTTAATTTCTTGGTTGCAAGATAGTCAGGTGAATAACTGTTCCGATATGCGCATTAAGGTCCATTCCGATCAATATCTTTCCAAGTGACATCAAGGTCAATCATAACAACTGAAGGAACGCAAGATATTCAAAATGGGTGGGTATGCTCATGCCCATATATATATATATATATAAATTCAATTTAATTAGAAAACAATCAACTTTCGATTATAATTTATTTCCCCAGGTAGGTAGTTTTTACCTGGTCTATCACACACACACACACACACACACACACACACACACACACACACACACACACACACACACACATTACACATTATTATTATATATATATATATATATATATATATATATATATATATATTAATAATCATAATAATAATAAATATACATTTTTTCCTAAAAGATAGCACAACTCAATCTTCAGCTGCTGATTGAAAACTGATCGTTACATAATTTAAATTTTGATATATATACCGGACTATAGTAATAATGGAGCAGTCCATATTATTTACGGGGTTTATAAAAAAAATCTAAATTAAAAACAAGTGATAAAAGCAAACAGCAACAAAACATTAAATAATATATACACATATTTTTTTTACAAAAACACACTTTCACACAACTTATATACGTCTAACTACAAAAATAGAATTATAATTCAAATACATATATACACATCTAAGTATTAGCATGTAATATCTATAAATGGAATTATATGCATATATATATATATATATATATATGTAGAGAGAGAGAGAGAGAGAGAGAGAGAGAGAGAGAGAGCATGAATCCATCCAGCTTTTATCTTAAAAAGACTGTTTGACCAACATAACAACTGACCAAAATTCATGTTAAAAAACAAATGAAAACTACAGACAAAAGTTCATTTTCTCCATGAAGATATTCATTTCCTGTAGTTCACTGTTACCAGCCAACAGAATTTTTCTCCTGATGATGGCAATATTGTCCGAAACTAGTCGAGGAATCTAAATGAAATAATAAAAAACGAAAAAATATTAATATACAACCCAGTGTGTCTGAAGATTTTAATTTTTTAATATTTTTAATTGTTCAATATATGTGTGTGTGTGTGTGTATGTATATTACTTTTTTTATTATAAGAGATTATAATAAATATATTTTAAATCGTTACACAAAAACTTTTATCTTTATCTTTCAATCTTTTATTTTTAGTTTTATATATATATATATATATATATATATATATATATATATATATATATATATATATATAACATACTTCCCCTTTTTCTTATTCATTTTGCTTCTTTACAGATGCATTTTTTTTGTGGACTCTGCGTTTACGTGTTAAATTAGGAATACGTTTGTTTATTCCTGTTAGAATATTAAAGGTCCATCATAAGAACATGGCGGACTCAAGTTGAGTACTATCGAAGATGTAAAGAAAACAAACGAGACCGAATATATATAATATATATATATATATATATATATATATATATATATATACAACAAGTATATCTATTAAACAACAAAATTTACAATGGACATAGATATTAACATTTGTGTTTGTGTATGAACGTAAACAGTTTGTATTTTGGTGAATGTTCGTACGTACGTGTATGTGCGTATAATGTTCATGGCGTCTCCCACAAATGAGAAGACGCAATCTTCTGCGAGAACTTACATTGCAGATGTGTTCGCTGAAAATGAAGAAATGAAAACGAGAACGAGGCAAGAAATCGCCCAGTATTTATAGTGTAGATAGAGAGCGTCCCTAGTAAACAATTTGGATAATTAAGGAGGAGTTAACACCGACACACTCTATCTGTAAATAATTTACACATATATACACACACGCGCGCACAAATACACGCACACATAGATACACAAACACATAAACACTCACACACACACGCATATATATATATATATATATATATATATATATATATATATATATATATATATATACAGTAGAACCACGTGATTCGCAGTAGGGAGGTTTCGTGCGAAAACAACACGCTCAGTGTATTCGTTGCTTAATGAGTCTGACCATAATTTTGATTAAAAAAGTTTAGTTCATTTTTTTTATTAATGTTCACTCAGTACATGGCCCAAGAGCCACTTAACGTAGAGAGTTACTGTGTCTAGCCGATTTTATTTAGTTTCTTTTTCTTTTCTTTTTCTCCATATTTCCATCAATTTTGATATTAAGTTTTACACACTGCTAGGAAAGATGAAAATATTGCAAGAAAATGGATGTAAATTTACCGTGATGTTTGTAAACATTTTTATTATAGTAAATTGTTTTCTCTTTTAATTTCAATAGGTATAGATAGGTTCACCTATCTCCCAGTTCACACTTCTTTCCGGTGTTTCGAATAATCGAGGTTTATCTCTTGTTTCTTGTTTTGGATTAAGTTTCCTTCTAAAGGCTACTTCAGCTCAAAACTTCTAAAACCTACACTTTCCTATCTATCTATCTATCTATCTATCTATCTATCTATCTATCTATCTATCTATCTATCTATCTATCTATCATCTATCTATCTATCTATCTATCTATCTATCTATCACAATCTGTTCATCTATCTATCTATCTATCTATCTATCTCTATCTATCACAATCTGTTCATCTATCTATCTATCTATCTATCTATCTATCTATCTATCTATCTATCTATCTATCGAAAAGCAAAGGCATTCGCAACAGTATATGAACACAGACGCACATATTGGGCATTTCTTTTGTTGGTTAAGGACTAACGAAACTCAACCGAAACCTGAAATATGTCAACGCTGATAATGTGGACTCATTGAAAGTAATCTGTTTTATTTGCCTTTCTCTTGATCGATGACATTATTGGATCAAAAGATGACTGTGACCCAAGTTCTGGCGTGAAAAATATAATCATATCTCCTGTAGAAGTCAAGTGACTTACCTGCTAACATGGCTGCCTTTTTTGTCTTCTTGAAAAAGCAAGCCAGCTAATTGTACCTCATTTCTACAGGAGAGTGTCTAATGTTGCAGGTGGGTTGGTCCATCTTGCCAAACACATTTGCATAAGTGGTCTCTATTCACCCATATATCTCTCCATTAAGTGACTCAGAATTAGGTTTTAACTTGGTGGCTACACTAGTCTACTTGTATATCAGACCACTTGCAAGCTAACCAATATTCTACATCTCCGATTTCGAATGTAAACTCATTTGATATGACCTTGCGTAACTTGATGACTGACAAAGATTTAAATTTTGTCTTTCTTTAGAAAGCAAACAAATAAACAGAATAGCCAGAATATTTAATGCCATTTACTAAACTTAAGTTTTTACTACAGAAAAATATAAATAAGAGACATTCTGGGAAACTGAAATCAATCTCAGTAGCAATGGTTGGCGAAATTCTTGTTAATTTTTGCCTCACGGAAAAGTGTACAAATACTGATTGGATATTAACTTACTTCGTCACAAGGATAATAAATTGAAGATTGTATTGCATTTATGAATCAAATGAAGAAAGCTTGCTGCTTTGAAAATCAGCATTCAAAATCCAGTGCGTAACTCGGACACTGATGCATTTATCTCAAATCTAATTAGATAACTGATGTAAAATTTATAACAACCATTTTTTTAAATTACATAACTTATTTTCTGTATGAATTTCTACGATGAGTATTTTTTATTTACATTCGGATTACAATAAGGACATTAGTCAGTATGCAAATAACTTATTTATAAGTGTTCTTATTAAAGCAGAACTTCTCAGATCCCTTATGGTGTAAATAATCATTAATAAACATGGCTCGTTAGCCTTGGTTGGCAGTCTGCCTAGAAGGGTCAGTCCGATTTCAAAATGGAGGTAGATGGGACGCCTTTGTCTCCAAAAAATGGTTGTGCGGCAAGTGCAATGGATAGAGAGGTTCTCGGAACGAGAAATTGTGCACCCAACTTCATTGCATTTCATTCAATACTCTTTGGAAACATAAGAATCCATCATTTTTCCCACCAGTTATGGGTTAATTAACATGATAGACTGGACTCTTTAGCCGTGGTTGGGAACCAGTTTAGGAGAAGGGCAACACTGAATTCAAACCAAATTGTTTATGTTCCACAACTATCAGCAATAGGGATGAGAAAAAACGAAGCGAAAAAACTCTTAAATAATTTAAATTCAAGTATTGGTAATAGTAGCTAAAACTTAAAAGTGGGTACAACTTAAAAGGAGTAATAATAAAATTTTTCTACTTTTCCTTTATATTTTCATCCTAATAAAAGGTCAAAAAATAATTTAAAAAAAAAAAGAAAAAAAAAAAAAGAAACCCGTCATCATTTAGCTGTAGTTTTTACCCAAACTCATATCTGATATATTTCTTAGAAATAAGCTTTGCTAAATAATAAAAAAATTTGTTCTGAAATCTTCAAAGACTTTATGATCAGTTAAACATTCACTTAAAGAAAGGAAATACTTTAATACAATATTTAATTGAGATATTTGCTCTTACAAAAAGAAACCAATAAAGAAAGAATATAATTGACTAAAATTTCATTAAACGAAAAGAAAAAATAAAAGATGTTTTCTTAAATGTCATTTTTCATTTGTCTTGATTAGTTTGGGCTCAGAGGTCATGCGGGTGGATCGCTTAAGCAGAAATCAAATTAAATTTAAATGTTTCCAACATAAACAAAACATAAAATAAAAAGGAAAAGGAAAAGTCAACACTAATCACTGGCATTTCATACTGCTAATCTCTTGTTCTCGTTTTCGTTCTCGCTGATTCGTTATTTACAAATAATTGTGTTATTTTGTGCAAGGAAACACAAATGGTAATTTCAAATAAAGATGGACGATATGAGGAAAAGTTCAGTAACATGAACTTTTCGAGGCTGTCATTCTGCAATCTCGATTCTTTCTTTAAATCATTACCAATAATTTAACTACATACTCTTTATTTTAGTTTCGTATATTAATACCTATAATAATGTCAGGCACTTGTATGTTACTCTGTATCCCAGACTTGGAATACTGATTTTGTTTTGTGATTATAAATGTATCTTTGGTCTTAAGAGAGTCAAGAAATAAATCAGAGAATATTAATAATAAATTCTACGAATAGAACGCAGTGTTTCGTTGTTCGGTTAGCAAGCAAGTACTTCTTTTTTCATACCCCAGACCATAATGGATGTTCGAGAAATAACTGATCTCCACACCTTCCCAAGTTTTGTTAATCGAAATAACCTATGACACATTATGGTTCCTCTTTTCACTCATTAAGCCAGATCAACTCATCCAGTGACTAAACATCATTAAGGAGAAAAACAAAAGCAGAGAGAAGCTTTCTGTGCGTTTAGTATGTCCTGTGAGTGTTAAATTCTCCATGTCTTCTCTCTTCTTTACGACCTAGAATTCTTAACTGTTACTTTCTGATTGATAGTTCAATATATATATATATATATATTATATATATATATATATATATATATTATAGTTTTTTATCATATAGGCAATGCATTTATATATAAACATTTTTGGTTCTCACCCGCCGAGGTGAAATTGAAATGCACCGAAACGAAGTTGCATCTTTGTAGTGAGTAAACTGTTTTTGTCTATATGATAAAATTATAATTAATAAATATCGCTCTACAATCGTATCGAGCCCTTTTTGGATTAATGTTGTGAACGTTAGAATTTATATATTACTTTAGTTCTCATTGCATCGGATATATATATATATATATATATATATATATATATATATATATATATATATATATATATATATATATAATTTTTTTAAATAAATAATTATATATATATATATATATAATTAATTATTTAAAATTATAACATAAATATATTATAGAATCACTACAAAAATAGCCATTTTGTTTCAATACTTCCGGTGTTTTTATCAAATGATGATGTTGAATGTAAAATAGATAAATTAATTAACGATCCTTCTCAAGGGAAAACGTTGTAACAACGTTTTCCCCTTGCGAAGGATCGTTAATTAATTTGAAACTTTTAAAACCATTTATTTTACATTCAACATCATCACTTGATAAGACACCGAAAGTGTTGAAACAAAATGACTATTTTCGTAGTGATTTCATAAAATGTTTATGTTATAATTTTTAAATAAATAATTAATCTGCTCTACTCTGTATTGAGCACTTTTTTAAGAATAGTAATTGTTGGTTATTGGAATTGGTTTCTTATACAGCAGTCATATACTTGGTTATATATATATATATATATATATATATATATATATATATATATATAAATATATATATATATATATATATATAAAATGTCGTCTAAATTATGTAAAAATGAAAACAAAACTGACATCTCATTTTAACGGATATATTTACCAAAATATTTTGGAAAATATATCTGTTATATATCTGCCCGGGGTCAAGAGGGGGAGGGGGGCTGCTGGAAGACCTCATGTCTGGCAGAAGGACTCTGCACCATGCTATAAAAACAGAAGAAACCAGTCATGGCTGCCAGGCAATTTCTGCGACAATATCAGCCCTTACATTTGGCCATTCCCCAGACTGCACCCCACCGTTGATTATTTATTTTTAATAGCTCTAACATTTTTCTATCTTGCCAGATTATCATTTATTTTCAGATAAATGATGACAAAAACTTGTATGTTGGATGGACGTTTGTTGTGAAAATTCACAAAGTGCTGGAAGACACTGACAGGTATTCTACAGTAGTATACAAACATAAGACGCATACTAAGTGCCCTGATGGCATTAGAACATCTACATTTGTACGAAAGGTACGAAAATTGCAGAAAATTAGTGATAATAACCACAGAAAGTCAATTAACGCCACTGTTAAGGAGCTCAAAGTTTCAAGGTAGTTTATCTGAAGAAACGTTCATGAGGACCTTCGATGCGAGTCTTAGGTGATGCCGAGAGGTCAATTCATATCTGCAAAGACAAAATACAAAAAAGCGTCTGAGATTTCGCAAAGCTCTCATTGGGAATTTTGAAGCATCAAGAGCTTGGGATGCTTTGGATTTTTTTTATGATGACAAACTTTGATCAGGACATAAAGATCAACTGAAGGCATGACAGATGTTCATGCAAAGACCTTAAGGACTTTACAAGGATCATGGAAACAAAGTTTCCAGCAAATGTGACGGTTCTGGAAATTGTTAGCAACGAGGGAAATGTTATGCCTTCTCACTTCTTTCCTCGTGGTTTACGGTTCAATGCTGAAAACTATGTGTTGGAGTGGGTTGTGTAGCTATGGACAGCGTGAGCAAAAGAAGACTGTGCGATGTCTCATAAGGCCAATATGACCCAAGAATGTATGTCAAAAACTCTAGGACCACGTCACCCTAAACATATCGCCTACAAGCTTTCAGACATGAATCCGTTGGGCTAATACGTATGGGACATAGTCGAGAGGGAAGCCAGTCAAGACTCCCTCCCAAACACTATAAAATCTGTAAAGTCCGACATAACTAGCAACATGTCTAAAATAAATAAAGATCATCTGATTCGGGCATGACAATGTTTCAATCCTCGAATTGAAGCATTCATTGATACTAACATCGGATTCTTAGGTAGATGCGTCAAGAAATTTGAAGACTTTTTCATGTCAATTTGTTCTCAAATAAAGCTCTTTCATCACTTATGTGTCTTTTACTAAATTCGTGAAAATGCTCCCAAAGAACTGAGCAACACTATATATATATATATATATATATATATATATATATATATATATATATATATGAAAATCGTGTGATCTTGGAATCTGTAATATCATTCAGGGCCATTGCAAGATGTGGACGCCTTAGATAAGATATAAAAGTGAAGTGACTAAAGTAAAATCAGATGTCATGTTAACAGGATTTTTAAAAGTTTAGCAATCATATTTAAAACCTTATAAAAATCATAGAAATGATGTTTCACATAAATGTACACAGTTCATGGTTTAACTATCATCGATGATTATTATTGACGCTAACGAAAGATTCCGTAATAAAGAATTAATTTTATAATAGCATTAAGGAAAAACAATAGGTCGTCAAATGATGATTTTTTAAACGATTAAAATGTCTTATTTCAATAATAAATAAAGTATATATTCACGTACGTTTATATTTTATTGTAGTATGTAGTCAAATCATTATATAAAACAACTCGTTTGAAATCAAGTAAAATAGATGTAGATTCAATGTAGTATCAACGGTAAAATAACACAATTAATGTTCTATTTTCCCAAATGTAATAACGTGTAATTGTTATTTTACAAGATGTATAAACAACTAATATAATATGTAACTAATTTTCATGATAAAAAATGTCTTATATTCCAAATTCGCTTGTGAAAAATAGCTTTAAATTTTTTCAGAGTCGGGACTCATAAAAAAACTAAAACGAAAAACGAACTGTGGTGACGATGATGTAGAGTAATATACAATTTACATGCGTCATTAATGGAGGCTAAATTCAGAATTTATTCGGAATGGATATTCCGTTGCATCCATTTTCTTCAATTCCATAATTTTTCAAACATCTTTTTCCGCTTATTTTTGTCTTCCTGGATTTTTTTGTTTTCGATTTATCATTATGAAAAATTCTTATGATGCAATTTTATCATCGATGCGGAAACACAGAAGCGCTGATTAGCAAATGGTTAATGCACTTCACGGAAATGGAAACACATCTAAATATTCGACTCTCTTCCACACACATAAAATGCATTAAGACACACTTAAGTAGTTGAACGATAAATACATTTACTTGCTTCATCACTGGAGAGCGATATTTTCCTTTTCTGGTTTAAAAGCTTTTCATTCATTTTGCTAAATTCATATCCGGATTTGGATATGAACGTTTGTTTCTGTGTAGAAAGAAGTAACCACGAGTAAGTAGGACATCTATCTATCTATCTATCTATCTATCTATCGATCTATCTATCTATCTATCTATCTATCTATCTCTTTTATTCTGTTCATTATCTATCTATCTATCCCTTTTATTCTGTTCATTATCTATCTATCTATCTATCTATCTATCTATCTATCTATCTATCTATCTATCTATTCTATTATCTATTATTTTATTATCTATTATCTATCTATCTATCTATCTATCTATCTATCTATCTATCTATCTATCTTATTTTGTTCATTATCTATCTATTTATCTATCACTTTTATTCTGTTCATTATCTATCTATCTATCTATCTATCTATCTATCTATCTATCTATCTATCTATCTCTTTTATTCTGTTCATTATCTATCTATCTATCTATCTATCTATCTCTTTTAGTCTGTTCATTATCTATCTATCTATCTATCTATCTATCTATCTATCTATCTATCTATCTTATTTTGTTCATTATCTATCTATCTATCTTATTTTGTTCATTATCTATCTATCTATCTATTTATCTATCACTTTTATTCTGTTCATTATCTATCTATCTATCTATCTATCTATCTATCTATCTATCTATCTTAGTCTGTTCATTATCTATCTATCTATCTATCTATCTATCTATCTATCTATTGTAGTCAGTGTTAAAATCCAGACAATAAAGCAAAATTTCGACACATTGCTACAGAATCTTCATACGATATTAAAATCTGTAATAATCAATCTATCAAACCACTGAATTTTACACCAGAAATAAAATGCAGGTTAATATGTTGATTGCGCAAGACATGAAAATAAGTTCAACTCCATTGACTGCAAACATGACGGCAAAATTATGATATTTTGACAAAAATCAAATTTGGAATGTAGCAAATCGGATGAAGTACGCAATGTTTCTCATAAGAATCGAGCTCCTCCTCTGACTAAGACATTTCGGAATTCTTAAAAACCACTGTATAGGAAACGACTCGAAGCCTATCGCGTCTATCATATATCTTTGTATTGTCAGGACATGAAACGTTTGGAGAGGTCCCAGCAAACAAAGCTCCGAAGAATCCTTCGCATCAGTTGCGAGGACCGCATCACTAATGTCAAGACTCTCTCTCTCTCTCTCTCTGACATCTCTGTCCATTGTCGAGCCTAGCCTCCTTCTACATCGCTTCTGCTGGGTGGATCACGTGACCAGAATACGCTTCACCAGATTCTCACATATCATCCTGTTTGGAGAACTCGCCAGCTGCAAGAGGCTACGCAGACCTCCAAAACGAAGTTTCAAAACATCCCTGACACAGATCAACATCGACCTTGAAACCATGGAAACCGTTGCTGAAAATCGGCCTTCCTGGCCAAGAACCATCCGAGGGGGAGGCAGAAAATCTTGAGTCCAAACATCAAGATGAAGAGGATCTGCGAGATGCTGTCAGGAGAGTCCGACTCACCCAGCCACGTCCACCACACACATTCTTCTGCTCACCACTTAATCATTAGTGTTTTTACGTGTTTATATATCTAAATATGTCTACGTTCTTGTGTAATATAATCTGATTGAGTGTGTATTGTCTTTTGCAAGATTTCATCCTCCCCTGCTCATATCACCACTTCAAATGTATCTAAGTTGTAACGAAGCTTTACATCCACATTAGATTGTAACGATTATTCTGAGTTTTTGGCCTTTCAATTAAAACAAAATAAATAACGAAGCATATGTATTTTTCCTCAGTTTCTTCTTTAAATAATTTTATAATATTTTAAACTTAATACGGATTAAATTTAAAATTGGTAATTTTTAATTTTCAATTTTATAGTAAATTTTAATATTAATTAGAATGATTTCCATTTTAGTCTAAGCCCAACATTAAGGCATTAATAACCAAGGTTCGTTGTCAAGTGTTTTGAATTCTTATATACTTGTATTTTGATTGGTCATTGCAGCTTATGTAACAGCGTTTCCTCTATTGAGGGGTGTTTGGTCGATTTGAATCTTTTAAAACCCTTTATTCTACATTCAACACCATCACTTGATAAGACACCTGAAGTGTTGAAACAAAATGGCTATTTTTGTAGTGATTTTATAACATATTTATATTATAATTTTCGAATAAATTATATATATATATATATATATATATATATATATATATATATATATTTTAAATAGGTTTGAAACGGTACAAAAGCGTATTAAGGCATTAAAAACTAGAAATGTAGTATTGTAGGCCATGATAAGTTTAAAATAAAACACACACCAGTCGACCGGTTTCGTCCCCTCTCGTCAGAACTGTTAACGGGGAATTTAGATTATGAGGAAAAGAAAAAAGTCTGTCATGGGTGACATGAATGAATGGACAGGAAGGAAAAAAAATATATATATTAAAATTATACCAACCAAGCTACTAGAATCGCAGAACAGCAAGTCCAAGCAAACAATCTCTTTGTTTGCAAAGAGCAGGTTGCCTAGACCTGATGTAAAGCGACTCCAGCACCTTAAGATGGAAAAGTGAGTGCGAACTGGTTTTCCGTCTTGGCCAGTTCGCACTCACTTTTTGTGTGTGTGTGTGTATATATGTGTGTACCCATGCGTATGTGTGTGCGTACGGCTGTACGAGTGTGTAGGTACACACGTGTAAAATGTCGTGTTTAGATGTTTTGCCCATTTTTAACGTATAGAACATTAATGAAAATCCTGCATATAATCTGTAAATATAAAGATACAACTTTGCGTTTGGTAAGAAATAAGTGAATAAGAATTATGTACTATCTTTCATGTGATTTTGATAAACTTTAATATTCAACCATAAATTAGCTTATATTTCCTGGTACTTAGCATATAATTTTTATTCAAAGGTGACGATAAATGATTCAAGAAATCTTGCTATTTATTAATCTAAGGATAGAACACTAAAACAAATAGGAGAAAAGTGAGAATGAAATTCTTGTTGCGTCAAACGTCGAATGAAGGGTTTATATACAATGACAATCAGTACTTAAAATAGAGTTTATTTATTTATTATTATTGAACTGGGTAGAAAATACACTATTTCAGTCACGGTGCTGGTCTAGTATCAATAAAAATGATATGAGACGAAAAATACGTGTGAAATCATACAAATCCATGCCATTGACGATTTTGTCCTTTGTAAAATCGTTGATGCTATTTTATAATCATTGTATCATTAATTTTGCAATTAGTTATCTAACTAATCAGAAAAGACCATTTGCAGAATCTCAAAACGAGATAATAACTCTTTATCGACTGAAAGTCTATGGCGTGGGCGTCGTACTCCCTAACTCCATCGATCGAATTGTAGTAAGTTAAAGTTCTCCTTCTGTCATAGCCAATTAATCTGAATATAAGTGGATAGAAGGCAGCCATGTCGGTGGTGCCGAAGGCGACGTAATGCCGACATTTCCCATACATTAACCTTAAAAATCCTCTTCTCGGCAATAATCAGCGAACTGTGTGTTTCATTTTGAATAAATGTTCTTAGAATGGCATGAGCACTTTTTATGACAATCAATAATATCATTTGACTTGCGAATAGTCTGTCCCCGCTGATCAAGACAGATCTAACTTATTGCACTCAACGGCGACACCATTTTTATTGTCAGAAAAAAATGACAACGACAACAATAAAAACAACCACAGCAGGAACAATAACATCAGTGTTTCATTGGCCAGCAAATCATCTGTCATTTTAATACCAATCTTACGCAATTCGTTATTGTAAGCGTAAATATAGATAAGCAATTAAAGAAGGCAAATCAAAACTATCTATGTATCTCTTTCTCTCTCTCTCTCTCTCTCTCTCTCTCTATATATATATATATATATATATATGTGTGTGTATGTGTGTGAATAGGTTGCACAAGCCATGAGTTCAAAAAACGATTCAATCAACATCAAACTTCATTTAGGATAGATAAGTACAGAAATCAAACATCGCTCTCAAAGTATTTCTGTCAATTAAAAGAATCCAATAAAACACCCACAGTAAAATGGAAATTAATAAGAAAAGCTAGAATATATAGGTCATTAGATGACCCATGTCCTTTGTGCATACATGAGAAGCTATATATAACTAAGTTTATAAAAAATAAAAATTTACTGAATCAGAGAAAGGAAATAGCTATTTTTTGCCGTCATTGTCAAAAATTTTCCTTAAATAAAAAATGGGAGCTGGTAATATACATACTAATATTTGATAAGAAAAAATTTAAATAATATAAGTAATTCTATTACATTTACTTGTTTTTAAAAAGAAATATAGTCTATTAGTAATTAAGAGTAAAAATATTTTAAAATTGTAGTTTAATAAAACGTATTTTAACACAAGCACACATAAAAAAAAATCTTTGAGTATACAGGAAAAAAATGCCGAAAAACTTTTTACCGTTAATAAAAAAAAACCCCAGACGACATGCATTTAACGGATATCAGAATTCGTTGAAAAATAAACCCCTACCCTCCTTAAACTTAACCTCTTTTTCGAACGTAACTCATAATTGATAAAACAATAGTTAACAAAAATGAACACACTACAGCCCCTGAATGACTGGATTCCCCTGTATCCTTAGAAACTAAAAATTATGAATCTATGTGTGTTTAAAACTCAGTAAATTTAAAAATAAGTTATTCCAATATTCACTTGAAGATGAAACGGAACTAATTCTTTTAATTAAATTATATAATTAAATTTAAAGTTTTTAGCTTCCATTTTTGAAACATAATGATATACATTTTTATATGTCAAGTACAGTATTGAGTAAATTGTAAGACAAGTTAGGAAATTTTATTTGTGATGCGTTTCATCGGAATGGATTTATTGACGTTGTTATCACTACATACACGTATGAACGTGACACGCTGGTAGTTTCAAAATTTTTGAAAGAATTTTTTGAAAGAATTTTTTTTGTAAGCCAGCCAAATTCATCTATATTCTTTTTCTTTCTCTTTCCATCATCTTTGTTTTTAAATATTTTGATAAAAGAAAATCTGCCAAGATTGGTGAAACTTTGTAAGAACCAATCTGGGCGTAAATTTACTGTGGCTGAAGTAGTTATTAAAACATTTTCTAGACATTTACGACTTAGTGAATTATTTTCTCTTTGAAAAAATGCTACTCAAATTAAAATGAGAGCGAAAGTACTTTGGAAAATAAAAATTACTTGAAAGAAAATTTTGGTACTTTTCTTAATCAATTTTCTACGGCAACCAAGAAATTGATTCGTGGATTCGAAAGGATTAAAACAAAAATAAACAGACATAGAAAGTCTAAATTATTTAACCAAACCTGTTTGAATATATATATATATATATATATGTAACGTGCCCCGGTGTCGCTGCGCCAAATATGACGTCTGCCTGGCCGCGCCCGCCGTGCTGTCCTGGTCGCGGCGCCAATTGTGACGTCACCCCATCTGTCTCCGCGCCGTCGCCGTCCTATCCTGTCCTGTGACGACCAATGAGACTTGGTATTGGTCGCGGCACCAAATGTGACGTTCTAACCTTTTGTTGATTCGGATGGGAATCTGGTTAGATTCGGTATCAGCCTTGTCGTTCCCAGCTCGCCTCCAACGTCTGGTTACCGAAGTAACTGTTTTGATTTCTAGTCTAACCTACCCACGTTGTGATTTGATCTTAGGTAGACGAAATCAATCAGTCGCCGGGCCGTAATGTAAGTCGAGTCCGAACAAGGCTAATATCACACAAGTATATGTAAAAGAAAATAAAGTAATAACTCGAAAAGTTCAAATGAGTTAAAAAAAGGATAACAATATTTTATATCTGGTTGCTGAATACAGGACTGCTTCTTTTCTCCCAAACCGCTATATGGATTCGTAACACTTTGTGTTTGTTAGGCGAGTCTTAACATCTTAAGTTTTTTGTTCTTTAAGAAACTGGTTCTTGGTGTATCTTCAGGCGATATTCGTAAAACTTTTGGTTGTGTGAGTCTAAGTCGTTCTTTAAAAATAAATTGTTCTTGGTTAGAAGTTGAGGTCGAGAATGCGCGAATCTTAAGTCAGCTTCCTGCGAGGCGTCTGCGAGCTCTCAGCTCACTGTAACTGCTTGCCTGTCTAACCCCAACTGCGAACTTCACTGCGAACTCAACTGCTTTCTACTCGTTGCGACTCTGCTTATATGGACGCCGACCAAAACCGGAGTGGGCCTGTCGGCTTTTGAGGTCCCTTGATAATTCTAAATCCGCATTAAGGTTTTTTCTTTGTTCTCGGTCAGGAAGAATTATTATTTCTATTTTTGGAAGTCTTTCGTCCTCCCCAATTCTTCCTTTCTCATTTTGGTATCTCACCCATACCCTCAGAGGGTGTCAACGGGTTTCCCCTCTCTCTCACAGTGGCATCTCACACTGATCCCTTCAGGGGGGCATTAACAGGCCTCCCCTCCTTCTTTACATGATTACCTTCGCCTGCCGCTCACGCTACCATTCAGCCAATGGCCGCCCAGCAGTGTGGGTGTGGCCAGACTGGCCTCGGTTTAAAAAAAATCTTGCTCAAAGAAAAAAAAATTATCTTCCTTTTTTTTCTTCCTTTCTTTTCTTTCTTTCTTTTCTTTCCTTTCTTCTGCCCGACAACAACCCAATACGACCCGTAGTGTGGTCTCTTAATTTCAATTTTATCTTGAATGTCACCTGGGATTCATCACTCGGGACCTTTGCCAAATAAGTAGGTGGTCATCCGGCGATATCCACGTTCCAGTCAATTATTCGTTTTGACATAAAACAGGTGTCTTTTTCCAAATGATATGGGGGTGGTCCAACGGACATTTTGGTTTCGGTCAGAGCATGACCTAATTATCATTATCTCCCAGTTTCTCTTTCGTAGGCCACTTGACCAACCTGAAATTTTCATTATCGTTGTCATGGTAGGTGTCTACTCGGTGGATCAAATTAAATCCAGTGTCTTACTTCCTCGATAATGAAAATAAAATCTTACCACTTTTCTTTGTTAGAAAATTAACATCGCTTAGTGTCCTTTTCGTGATGGCTTCTTATCACCTAAATTTAATTCTCGCCTTTTCTTACTTTTTTTTCTTTCTCGCAACCCTAAATAGTGTCACATATATATATGATTGAGTATTTGGGCAGTAATCACTATTTCATTCAAGTTTCGTTGAAAACGACTGACAAGGTACTGTAGTTGATTTTTTATATAATTTCTCACGTGTACATATATTTTTCTTTTCAGGACATAAATTATATGAAAATTGTCCGAATGTTTTCCAAGCGCTTTCGGCTATACATTTACCCATGATCAAGGATGAATTTTATTTTACGTTTAAATGAATATATTGATTTTTTTTATGTATGTAGGAATGTTTTATTTTCCAAACAAGGTCAGCACATTGTGGCCATATTCAAAGTTAATATATATATATATATATATATATATATATATATATATATATATATATGGGTTGTATGCGTGTGTGTGTGTGCAACATACGCGTGCATCCGTTGTAATAAATATGTGATCGAGACAGTTTAATAAGTCCATGCGTCTTTTATACCGTGACACACACACACACACACACACACACACACACACACACACACACACACACACACACACATATATATATATATATATATAAATCAATATATATAAAATCTCAGTTATAAGTAAAATATATATCTTTAAAAGACTATATGAATAAAAACAAAAAGAAAATTTATCTTGCCGGCACGTTTCGTCCTCTGGTGGATTTTACCGAGCCAAATGTAAGGATTTTATTTTACAATAAGCTCTTATGAATATGATGAGAACAAAAAATTCCCAATAATAATTTGAAGCAGGTTCATATAAAATAAACTGTCACAACTGCTCCTTACAACAGACTGGAAAACTTGCAGAAATTAAAAAAAAAAACAAAACGTATCTATGAAGACAAAAAGTATCTTATGGAGAACAATTTATTAAAATACATTAGTTATAAATAGAAATAACTTCAATCACCAATTTGATATTAATGAATGCCACACTTATTAAGAGAAAAAGTAACTTACTTAGTTCAGTCTCGAGAGTGTAGATATAGAATCCTATGGAAATAGAAATGTAGATGTGAAGCGTTAAATTGAATATGTAGTGTTGATTTCTATGTACGCATATATATATATATATATATATATATATATATATATATATATATATATGCATAATTTTCGGCCTTGTGCCACATCTAAGTTACGCTTGGAAAATCGCCATGAACATCTAGATAATCATAACACAAACACATTATCTATATATCTATGTCTCTCTCTCCACACACACACACACATATTTTTTCTATAAATCTATTTATATGTCTGCCTCCCCCACATATATATTTTTCTCTATATATCTATCTAAATTTCTCTCTCTCTCTTCACACACACACACACACACACACACACACACACACACACTCCCTCTCTCTCTCTCTCTCTCTAACTCTCTCTCACACACACACACACACACAGTCATATACATTTTTCTCTATATCTATCTATACTTCTGTCTCCCTACAAACACGCGCGTGCGCACACATACACACACACGTGTGTGTGTGTGTGTGTGCGTCTCTGAAGGTTTTTATTAAACGCCCGAACTGAATTTGGAAATTTATTTAACAAAAGGGCCATCCTAGCTGCGGTGTAATATTTAGCAAGCTGGTCACTCATATTAATTACTACTGAATTAAGTTCTCAGTATTGCTCGCTACATTTGGCCTTTTGCCAGATCGAAATTTCACTTAGTAAATAACCACACACTCATGAAAAGGAAAGAAAGCCTAAAATATTTTGTGGTTTTCAATGGCATTTCCTTGCTTTCTCATCTATCTATGTACACGTGTATGGTCAATCTTTGTCTGTCTCATTTTTTATTGTTTCTATCTATCTATCTATCTATCTATCTATCTATCTATCTATTTTAAGACATTTTTATATTTATACATTCTTTTTATAGATACAAATATTTAAGTAACTGTTCTGTTTATAATATTTTCTATGAAAATTTCTCGGACATTCAAGCCGGTAAATGTTGTTTAATACTGTTTATCATAAAAATGTCTTAAAATAATTGTCGGACTTTATCCATTTCATTATATATATATATACACAATAAAATCCAAAATCACCTCATATTTTCGTCGGTCGAAAGAAGCTTATTCCACATATGAGGTGATTTGGGGTTTTATTGTGTACTAATTATTTGCTCTGTACTAATAAATAGATTAAACTCTTTTTGCGGATCAGTTTTAATATTCTATATTACTAGGATCCACTTGGATTATATACTAATGAATTTATTACGTTTACTATCTCTTTTCTCTCTCTCTCTCTCTCTCTCTCTCTCTATATATATATATATATATATATATATATATATATATATATATTTTATATATCGTCTTCTTTCAAGCGAAATTACAATGTTCGTGACAAGCATTAGCGAGAAGCTCAACAACGTTCTTCACTGCCATCCACTTATTGTTCTCGGTAAGCAAAATTTAGTTAAGCACACGGACGCATGCGCAGAGAGCAAATGCAGGGCCTTCTACAACTTTTCATGATCGTGCGTGCTTAGCCAGCCAGCCACGCTCCAACGCCGATAGCTACCTTTTAAGGCGACGTTGCAATATGTTTCTCGTCGGTCGCCCAACCCTTTTGTTTCAACACTCGTTATTGATTAGCTTAGGAACAGAGTTAAAATAGTTTGTGTCAGCTAACCTGTTCACCTTGCACAGTGTAAATTTGGCGATAAGGGGAGGTACTTTTTTTTGTCTTGCAGATATTTGATATAAAATCGATGAAAAAAGAACCTATTCAAAAGATTTTTTTTTTCTTGACTTTTTTTTTTCATTTACATTTGCATTGCTAAATTTTTTTTCCTCTTTATACAAAGTCACTTTAGGCTGTATCTCTTATGAGTTTCAATTTTGCCCTTTTTATAGTTCACATTTTGCTATCCGTAGGGTGCCGTTGGTGAAACGCTGTTAAACTTGGTCGCCATCTTTTGGGTTAAGTTAAAAGCAAGTTTCTTAATTTTGTTGCGTACAAATTACTTGATTGTATATTGAATAGAGCTACATAATCTTACAATTGTTCTAGAGGTTTCAGGTATCTTTGCTATAAAAAAATAACTAATTACTTTAAACCTTTAGGTAAATTGTGTATTTATACAATAAAACAACGATTTCGATTTTAATTCGAGAAAAAGCAGAAAAAAGAATGGAGCAAAACAAGAGATAGACACGGTAATAGGTAACAAGTTGACGAATTTTTCATGATAATTTTTGCTGCGTCGCATCTGTAACATGAGGAAGGAAGTTGTCTTGTGGTAAAATCAGCATGTAGCTTGCTTGCTAGAAAGGAAATTCAAATGGAAAAGGAAGAGTAAAAGCTAAAAAAATCATAAAAGAGGAAAAACGTGAGAAGGGAAACAAAAATATAGTTAAAAAGAAAGAAAGAAAAAAGAAGGGAAAGATAGAACAGAGAAGAAAGAAAAGAATGAAAAATAATGCAGCAATATTGAGAAAAAAAATGAAATATATATATATATATATATATATATATATATATATATATATATATATATATATATAGGGTGACTATAAAGTTCTTTTGCACTTTAAAATTTATAACTTTATTTGTATTTGCGATAGAAATAATTTGTAAAAAGGATTAGAAAAGAAAAGAAATCTATATTTTTTTAAGGTTTTATTGAAATTTTATTTAAGTTTCCACATGTCCTCCATCATTAGCAATACAAAGGGTAATACGATTTTGCAGTTCACGGAAAACATTTGCCAACTGATATTTGCCTGAAATCACATTAGTTATTTTAGTTATACTTAAAACTAGGTAGATTAAACTTTATAACATTTTTTACAAATTATTTCTATCGCAAATATAAATAAAGTTATAAATTTTTTAAAGTGCACACGAACTTTATGGACACCCTATATATATATATATATATATATATATATATATATATAAACCGCGTACACATACATAAATACAAAAACAAAAAGCACCTGCTAATAAAAACAAATAACATGGAAACAAAAAAATAAAAAAAGGCAATTTTTTCTCTTGTCATTTTGGCTTTTGAACTCTTACTAAATTTAAGCTGTAATAGTCAAAAAAAGGTTTTGATAAAAAAAAAAAAAAAAGTTTTTTATTTATTGCTTTAACTTGCTAAGTCATCATTGGAACTTAGTACCGACAGCGCACAGAGGGGGGAACGAACCCCCTGTTGTTTTATTTGATTTCTTATTCTCGTCCCCCTATATTCCAACAGTCCGACCTCATAAAAATTTATGTTTACATATATTGATCTATATATGAGAAAGTGTTGCTTATGAAGAGGTACGTACACACACTGTACACTCACAAATTCACTCACTCCTTATCTCTCTCTCTCTCTCTCTCTCTCTCTCTATATATATATATATATATATATATATATATATATATATATATATATATATGCAGATATATTCATTAGAATGTCAGATATTCGTATATTTGTGATGTGAACGAACACTCGGTGCCACTTTTGCGATGCCAACGAATACTCGTTGTCACGGACGCTGGTAACAGGCTTTGCAGACCCAATGTTTGCGACCACCCCACAAGAGGTTGGCCAACAAACGCTCGATCTCGACCACACAGTCCCTGCAAAGAGGAAGTACAGCCAAGCGGAAAATGATGAAGAGCAAGACGTAAGTGGCACACGCTTCAGTCCTAGCATGCCAACCTTCTTCAGAGCCAAGTCGACGCCCCGATCTTTGCCTCCACTTCTGACCAATTCTTCTTTGAGCCGGAGTCCGGGCCCGAACCACACTCCAAGATTGACTACGGTCCCATTAATTCAGCTAAAGGGCCCAGAAGCGCGACTCACTTCCAGACACATAACCTCAAGCCAGAAGACTTGTTACGATTAATTTTGGCCCCCGTCATCTTCTCGTATCGTTCAAGCACCTTCTGCACCACCTTAATGTCGCTGCGGCTCGAATGGAAAATAGATACGTCATCGGCGTACGCAGAAACACTAGCTCGAGCTCTACCAGGGTAAACGGCAATTCCGCGAAATGGCCCGTCTGCACGCCCTGTCCCTCAGCCAGCGAAGGCGAGCCTCTAACGTCAAAGCATAAAGTAAAGTGGAGGAGCGATACAGGAGGCTGATGTACTTTCAAAAGTTGGGTGCGAATCCGGCAGCCTGCAGGACAGTAGCCAGGTATTGATGATCCACCTTCTTAAATGCCTTGGAATGATCTAAATTGATCAGCGCGGCTCGCTTCTACACCCTCTATGATCGTACGGATCAGATGCAGGTTGCTTTTAGTTGTTCGTCCCATCACAGCACAAGTCTGCTCGGATCCCAACAAGTTCACGTCAACTGACTGCAAACGCTCCGTCAGGATCTTGGCCAAAATCTTTAACTCTGTGTTTAGCAGAGTTATGAGCCTGTAATCGTCTAAATCCTTCCCAACACACGTGCCCTTTTTCAACAGCGTGATCACACCCAGTGAAATCCTGTCGGGGATGGACCCCTACCGCAACCAGTTGTTGAACACGAGAGTCAAAATCAAGTACATTTTGTAGGGCAGACCATTAAGTCCCGGGGACTTGACAGTGCCGACTCTCTTCAATGTCAAGTGAACTTCGCCCTCCGTGATCTCACCGTTGCAGCTAGCTGCTTCAGTCGGCGAAAGCCGAAGAAAGTCAGCTAAATACCTGCGAAACTCATCGCCACTGGGACAAAGCTCCTTGGTAAAACGGCTCTCGAAATGCCTCTGAAACGCCTCGTACATGTCCTTGGTCGACCTCAGAGAACGTCTCTCCAGGTTAATGACTTCGCGAATATAACGATCGGAACTTCGACAGATCTCTTCCTTGCGCAGTTCTGCGCCCATATTCACAGTTTCGTCAGACATCTTGTTTAACTTATGTCGAAGTAACTGACCTTGATAGCGCTTGCTAGCCTCGCGATTGCTAGCCTCGTGATTGCCTAACTACAGCTATCTCTAGGGGCATCCTCCCAGCCACCGCACGAGACAGACTATCCTCTCGAGCCTTCACCTTTGTAGCCCTATCTAGGCCGAGTCATTGACTATATTCGGTGGTGAAGGACCTAATCCTATCCTTAAGCCTCTCCCACCACTTATTCCCAATAACCGCCTCCACTACTTCCCGCTGTTGTTGGAAGTCTCGCCTGTCCAGTAAGATCAGATTGAACTTCCAGTTTTCAGCCATTCTAGACCTAACACCATCTGGGAACAGATGAGTCTATGATCCGAATAGTCTAAACGGTGGAACGTTGAACTCTCTAGTAAATCTAGGTCGACCCTTCTCATTAACATTCTGGAGAGACGGCCACTTAAGTACCCACGTCCACATCTGCCACCTCGGATGATCACCGATCAGATTAACCAAGCGATGATCGCCGATCGACCTTCCACTAGCTCCCCGCTTCCTGTCTATATTGCCGGGTCAGTATTACATATAACATCATATCCCCTGTGGCAATCCCAGACTTGCTTATGATAGAAGATACTTGTTCTACAGGCCCGTCTTTTGAAATTCGATCTTCGCATAGATTCACAGGCACTCCGTGCGCAGTAATTTTTGTCCGTCGGGTGCCCATGTACTCTGTTTGGAGTCTTAGCGTCGTTGTTGTTAGGGTATTTCCGGCGAGTTGTTTCGCTTCTTGGTCTATCGCTAGTAGGATATCCCATATAGCAATGGATTTTCTAGCTAAAATCTTCAGTGAGCTTTTGAGGGTTTTTAGAGCTTCTTCAATTGTTTCCCTGTTGACCCCAATCAATTTCCGACTTTTTACGTCGGTAGTCAGCAGGGAAATTATTCTTGCATTAACTGCATCCAAGGCTTCTAGTATCGTTAAAAACTCATTACCTTGCACATA